ACTGCAAACGGGGTTGTTGTACAGAGGTCAATGGTAATCGGCGCAAGGGGCGCCGTGACCTCAGCCTCCTTTCTGTGAGCCGTTCTATGAATGGTCCTTGGGGGTCACTGAAGCACTAGTTGCACATACAATTGATGATAATGAAGCATCTGGGGCTGTGAGTGCCGAACTGACGATTGCTCGGTCTTCACATTCTATCGTTTCTCTAGGCCTACCGCTTCCTTCTTGACGCTGTGTGCGGCCAGGGTTCACCCATTCCTGCCAACATCGTCTAATAGTGGCATCGCTCCTGCACAAATGTCGAGCTATTCGCCGATAAGACGAACCGGCCTTTTGGGGCCAACTACACGACCTCTCTCAAATTCTGATATCTGCGCATATCATTCGCGCACCTGTATGCGAGGCATAGTTATAGTAGCACCTGTATGCGAGGCATAGTCTACCAGAGTACACGTAATGAAATTCGTGAAGAATTTATGACATGGAATCGTAATTTCTCCTCTTAAATATCCCGCCAGTTGCGCTGTAGCGACAGCCGTTCATTCATTGGCAGCCAAAATGTAAAATTTTGCATTTTCCGCCAAAACCTGTATGCATATCAATTTGTGTCCAATTTGCTTTATATCTTCTCGGTGGGTCATTTTTTTCCTCTTCTTTCTTTCTTTGTTGTTGTTGTTGTTGTCTAAGAGTGTATTTATAAAGAAACATAATAATAAGCTAAAAATTTAAAACAAAATTTTTTAAACCCGTCCTGCGCTATAGCTGCAGGATTGAAGTAAAATAAACTTAAAGCATCTAAAGTAAATATTAAACTAGAATCAAAGCAAGACAATTCCTCAACACTATTAATAACTGTAACCATGTATAAGATGTTTGACACAGTATCTAAACAAATCAATATTAAAATAAGAATTCATAGTAGAACAAACTCGAAAAATAAAAATGCGAAAGGGCAAATATAGAAAATTTATATGTATTGTGATAGTGTGTATTTCTGCCCTTCTAAAGTTCTTATCTCTCTGAAGCGGTATTCTCTGCATATACAAATACCAAAACAATATACATAATCCGCTTAAATGCAGAATCAGTCATTGGTCTGCAATTAGCAGGTGAACTTTGTATATGAAACCAGTGCCAAAAAACCGCAACCATAAGTGTCTCATTAAATATATATACAGTTATATACGTTATTTTCTGTTATGTCTCAATTTAGGCCCATTGTTGAACTAAGAGTGCCCTCTGCTTAGTAAAATTATGCTGAAATTAGTTTCTGTAAAAAACTAATAAACATTTTAGGTTTAGTTTTGCAAAGTTTCTCAGAATAAGAACCATAATTTTATGAAAACAGTTTAAGCAGTGCCGGTTGGAAGTTTAACTAAATTTAAAACCTACATTTTGTGTGATCCTCGCACAGGAGAAAAAAGAATCAGTTTACTAAGTATCTTTATCTACAAAACTTGCAGCGTAATTCCTGTTTAATTATACCTCAGGTCAATCTACAGATTTAACAATTCGTGATGTTTTTCCAATACGGAATCTGTAATGCCCAAAACAAGAAACTTTCTTTTTGAAGTTGCTCACTAAAGTTTGCAAAAATTTTTTTTGGAAGTACATAACTTCAGTCGTAAATATGTATTGAAAAAAGACATATCAGTAAATATTTTCTCTCATATATCTAATAATTATGCATGTATAAATATGAAAACTTATTTTATTTAACACACTAAAGCATACTGAGCATTTTACCACTGCAATTTTCACTTTACCGAAAGTCATATAAAAAGTCAAATTCTACATTTTCAGAAACTTCTCTTCTGGGACGATGAAAGTGTTTCATAAGATAATCGATTTAAAATTGAAATGTTTATAACTGCAAGTACCTATCTAAGAATAATATTTTAGAAAATGCAGCTTGAAGTCATTTTTTTAAGAACTTGCCTAATTTACAAAAGGCCCGGAACATAGAGTCTTGGTTTTAGGAGACCCCCAATGGTCTTGTTAAAATTTTATAATCCTGATTTCTTTTTCTAAAAACAAGGAAGGGAGGTTTCAGAAGCCCTTGAGAGGATGATATGCCTAAGGCCACAGACTACCTTAATCGGGTCCTATATATTGCATGTTTCAAATTTCATTCCAACTTTAGGTTGACACGACTTCTCTCAAATTTTTCCATGTGTACAATTATTGGAATGTTATCTTTGAGATATGACGAGGATTTCGTATTTGTAGATTTATTTTCTTCAGAATTCCTTAGAGACACAGTTCGTGGTAGTTTTTCACCAAATTCTCTTTTTTTAAATCACATATCCTTAAAAGCAAGAATGGAAAATTACATTGTTTACCCTTTTTTCACTGCGAAAATCTTAATAACTTGATTCTTGAAATATACTTCTCCTAAAAAAACAAACAACAAAGGCAAAACACGGAATAAAACTAAAACTATTTAATGGATATTGTGTGAAATTGATCCAAGAGGTTGGTGTGGCGTTACAAGACCAAATAGCAAACAATAAAGCAAAAACATACAAAAACACATGTATTACGACTATCACATCGCGAAAGACCAAATGGATCAGAAAAATTGTGCAACGGAAACATCCTAATAACAGGTATGATATCCTCAAGCTGAAATGCCTGCTCGACAAGCTCACAATAATGCCGTTGATCCCTTATTCAGGCAATAGCGCCCATTTCTGTAAAATGCATGTGGGAGGTCGTACAGGGTGGTTTGGCGAGATATAGGCCGTCCTCTAGCAGCAGAGAGATGCAGCGTCCAGATCCATGCTTTTTGCAGGGGTTTTGATCCCTTTGATAAAGATTACACAGCCTACTGATGACACTACGGTCCACATTCAGCTCTCTCGCAACAGCGGATTGTCTTGCACAAGCTTACAACATTCCGACAGCCTTTCATCATTCAAACGGTGCCTTCGGTTAATGCTTTCAGCTTTGGCTATCTCCGATTCCACGGATCTATCGCTGCTTGCGAAATGACGCACAGATCCAGCATGCCTCTTTTTAAGGCAAAGGCAACGATGTCTTTGATAGCTTTACTTATTTAATATGATCTGCACCTTTGTGAATCTTTGGTTTACCTGTATCACCTAAAATATCTACATTGAAGCAGTCATCAGTTGCACATATGTAAAAAAAAATCTGTTTAGTATTAAATCCACTGATAGCATACTGTTGATAGTTTTTTTTTGGGGGGGGACGAACTAATGAAAGAGGCCATACAAGAGCTATCTCTGAAAACCCAAAATTTCTTGCCACCTATTTATCGCAAACAGAATGACTTACTTCCTTTACGTCAACAACATATCCAAGATCAAGGACGGTAGTCATATTTGCCACTTCTGTCAATTGCGATACACTGAAAGAGAAGACTAGATGTCCAATTATTTAAGCTTGAGTTTGATTTTTTATACGTTTCACTTTTTATCTCCTGAATAACTAAAAATTACGAAAAGAAGCCTTCTTAGCCTACAAGAAATCGTAAAAACACTTTTAGATTCCCATTCTCTACAGCTTAATTGGATTCAAGTTCACATTGGAATCGCAGGGAACGAAAGAGCAAATTCCGAAGCAAAAAGAGCAACACAACAAGGTCAGATGTTGAAGTGCCACTTTCAGAAATTTCGGCCAAACATAAAGTCCTGCAAGGATCACTTAAAACATAGCAGCAAAGATGGGATAAGGACTCTACAGGACGTTCCGCTTACGCCTTTTTCCCACAAATTTTTTTCTCTCTCGTATACAATCAGATCACATTTTAAATCAAATTTTGACAAATCATGATACATCTCCGCAATATATTCAAAGATTTCATAAAAAGAACTCAAGATGTGACTGTGAATTGCATCACGTCTTGTCCAATAACAGTAAAAGAAAGAACATCTCTTTTTCCATCACCATTGCTTTCACTGGAAACACTGGCAAAATCTAATTCTACTCTTAATGAAATGAAGTCAATTATGCAACTTATACATGTAAACGACTCAGACTTGTTTATCGTTAATCCTACAATGTTTATGTCATTCTAATTGTTATTTTTCCTTCCACTCACGTCAACGTGATGTTCAATTATGTAGTCACTATAGTGTTTACTTACATCTGTAGCAAACTATATCTGTTTATATGTTTTTCTATTATTGTTATTTATAATTATTTATTTTGTTATTATTATTATTATTTTGTTTGTATATCTGTTTATATGTTTAATTGAATTTTACTGTGCTTTAATTAATTGTTCGTTTATATAAAAAGATTTTTTTAAAAAATTCCACTAGCATTGTAACCTTACTAGCCGTCCCTTCACTTCCTGTTTTAGCTGTCATGACTTCCCCCGTTTTGGTTTTAAGTTTGCAAAGCTTTCTCTTTAACTTTCGCCATTTAGCCTCTCAGCCCTTTTTTGTCGATAGGCTTTGCTTCATTTCGCCTGTTCCCTTTCTTTTTTAGCCATGAAGGCTCTCCCCTTCATGGACCAATTTTTAGCTTTTTGCTTCTTTCCATTTTAGCTGAAAGGCGCACCCTCCTCTTTTAGCCGTTTGGCTTTTCTTTGAAGCCCGTTTTCTCAGTTGGCGTGCTCTGCCTTATTTATTTCAGCCTACTGGCTTTTGCCCACTTTGGTAGTTAGCACCTGTCTCTTCCTGCGTAATACGAAGTGAGATAATTGGGTGTCTAGAAGCGTGGATTCAAACCCACTTACTTGCAGAAATCGTTACAAACCGCCGCAGTTGCTTTCAGTAGCAGGAGCGATTATAAGAGTTTGTTGTTTCCATCTCCTCTGGATGCCGGAAGTTACACTACGACGACGTTCCAGTATATCAGTACGACCATTATTTCTGATATTTTGTTCATTTTCCATACATTTAATGCATTATTCTTAAAATTGGGTCAAAATGAATCAAAAACGTAATTACAAAAGATTTAATACTTTTGTAGTAGTTTATAAATTACAAAAATGTTCAGAAAAATAGCTCAATCACATAATTAACTTGCAGATCACTTTTTCCCAATTACAAACACTACTTCACTTAAGCCAATCATCATCATCATCATCATCATCATCGTCGTCATCATCAAAGAGAGGGGGAGGTTGTGGTCGCCAAACCTATGGGGAAAAAAGGTTGTTAGTAATGATATGTGTAATATATAATATATGCAATATGCGTAATTACAAAACAATTCTTTTGAAAACGAAATTTAAACATGCCTAAGGGCCAGAATTTTTGGGTGAACTATTTTAATTAAAATACAGTGAAATGGTTCATCGATAATTCTGGATATAGAAAAACAAGGATTTTTATAGAAGAGAGATTTCAATGTTTACCCCCTGACGAAGTAGCATATAAGTTGATTGAATTCCTCTTCTGTTTTTGTTTATTTTTCTTTAAATTTCATTAATTTTTTTAAATAGGGTTTTGCTTGTTTGAAAAGTTTTGGTTTTAACTTTTTTAAATTCGTTGATGTATTTATAAGATTATTTGAAATTTATTAATTATGAATTTCAATTTTTGGTCTTTGTGAAAAATTCTAAATTTCTTACTTTATGTATTTCTTACTTATGTGTAATATATAATATATTACCATAAATATATATATGTAAGATATAATGAAATAAGATGGCTGCTTTACGAATAATTGGCGACCTCAAAATTAATTATTCAAGATTTAGTGCTCTCCTCCTAAATTAATCTGCTCTCTCAAATTCGAGATCTTTCCATACTACATGACAACCTTAAATTAAACAATCATAGCTTAGAATACTTTCTGTAATATACTTAGTATAAATACTCTTGGCACAACAACATCATTCCTTTCCCTAGCTTTCACCCCTACAAACAACTCTGCGCCGCTTCTGCTGTCCTGTCCAAAATGCTTACGTCGTGCTTTTAAAACCAATGTACACAGAAATCGTATTTCATTATGATTGGATAAATGTCTACTAAGATGGTTTTATATGCGCGAAAATGAAGACTGGAAATTCTTCAAGCTCAATATGTTTAACTGCATCAATATAGCTTTTACCTTCAGCCATTACTGTCTTCTCAGCCATGAATGAATAACGAAAGCTGTTAAAAGTTGCAGTGTTTTTTTCTACGCGTTAAATTACGACATCATATATATATATATTAATTTTTTTTTTTACATTTTTACTTCAAGTCTTTTGTCGCACTTATGTGCTGATCAAAGTAAGGCATATTTTAAACATTAGAATTAAAGTCTTCTGTCGCACTTTAATTCTAATGTTTAAAATATGCCTTACTTTGATCAGCATATTGCTTACAATTAGTATTGAATTTTATTTGTAAATATTCAAGTGTTTATATTGTTTATTTAATCTTTTTTACATTTCTTTGCACTTTATTTTACTTATGTTAATATTTTCACGGAACCACAGTATTTAAGCAACTTTTTAGCGTACGAACTAGGAATTTTGTTTTAACTTTTTTCTAAATTTTGCAACTCAATGCGCAAAGTTTTTGACCACATAGGTCTTTTATAGTTTGTTCTCTTTTCTTTAATTACATATATATAGTAGCATACTTGCAGCACCTAATATACTCAGGAAATAATCTGGTTCTTCACGAACATGAATTTTTAGTATAAAAACAGTTTTAAGGAAGAAATGAGACTAAAATATAAAGAATAATGCGACTTGAAGAACAGAACATGAGCGAGAAATCGATTTAAATAGTACTAAATAAAAAAGATGGTTTATACATAACATTGGCATTATACAGTGACCTGAGGCATCCACATATTCTCTTGTCAGTGTTAAATTTTTGGATATGCTTTGAGAAAAACCAAGATGACTCCAGTTAAAATTTAACAAATAGCTCATATGTGGTTATATTATAACGTTTTAAGAAACCCATTTGAAATTTTTTGTATTAGTGCATGGATCGCAACATAAACTTAGTTCAAATAGATATTAAAAATGTTACTTATCCGCAAAAAGACTGGAAGTACAATGACTTAATACTTTTTCAGCTATCTCAATTCAATTTATAACAAGAAAAATGTAATAAATTATGCACATATATAATAATTTAAAAATCAATTTAATAAGAAAAAGAGGCAGAACTAAAAATGGACTGTTGATTTTATAAATAACTTCTGACTTTGACATACATATAAGATATTGGGGTTTTTGTCTCTAGAAAAGATATTGGGATATTTTGTCGTAAAAGATATTGGGGTTTTGTCCGTAGAAAAAGAGACAAAAACCCAATATCTTTTACGTTTAAATAAGCTCTGTTAAAACAGAGGAAATAACACTTTTGAATGGATTAAGCTATTTTTTGGTATTTTCCACCCAAAAAATAATTTTTGGCTTCATTTCTCCCTTTTTCAAGATCACAATTTCATTAAAATAATGCTCACATAAAACATATTCCTATGCTTAAATTATACGAAATCTTGCACCTTATTTATATCACGAGACAGAGATTAATAAGAAATTAAAATTTTACTCAATAGTATTTTATAGGGAAAATTCTTTTGTAATAAAATATGGCATTTCAGTGCTTTCCAAGAAAATATTCTGCATTTTAAAATGAAAGAAGTAAGTTCAAAGTAGATACAATCATCGACGTAAGTGTTCGTATTGGTATTCTTCTTATTAAATAAGTTCTGAAAGTAATGAATTCATATTTTAATTAAATATCTAAAAAATTATAAACATATGCTAATGGAGAATCTGAAATTTATTCAGCTATGGAAAATGGAACTCAAGAAAGTAGCTTAACAGAAATGATTTTTGTTAAAAGAAGGTAGAAAATTAGAAACAAGTTTATATATTAAATTGCTTAAGACTGGTTCATTCAAATACTTAATCATTAGTTTTATTCATAGACATTTATAGATTATTTTAAACTATACTCAGAAATTAATTATACTTAGAACAGAATATTTGAATTTATTCATAGATTACTTTAAATTATCGATTAATATAAAACAGAAGCATAGGAAAGGAAATACAAAATTCCATTTATTATGCACTAATTGCTGCTACAAATAATTGGATCAAGCAAACAAATTTGTATGAATTTTTAACTTTCATGGTTTTCAAGACTAAAAGGCAAAGGATAAAAGGAAAAGAACATTACATGGAAGATGCAGAACGAGTGGAAGAAACGGAGTAGTTAAGAAAAACTGCAACTCTTTGTCAGGAAACAAACTATAATTTTACATTAAATGACGCTTTTACAATAAATTAAGCTATGGGAAGAACTTAACAATATATAATCATATGACTTGAAAGTAGATATGCAGAGAAATTAAGTGAAATAGGAGAATACACATTACAGCAGAAATACACATAACGAGCAGACAGAATTACAAACAGTAATTAATAATTATTTGTATTTTGAATAAACATTCGTCTGTTACAGGTCAGAGGGTCATTGATATAGTAGTGACAGATTTTGATAAGATACCTATCAATTTTTTAATTTCATAAAAATGCACGACTTCAAAAAAATTATATCAAGAAAAGTTTTAGCTTCTTTTAAAAGTCAATAATTAGTTTTTAAAGTCAATAATAAATAGTTTTCATGTGACATTTTTTGATTATTGGTTGTAAAAAGTAAAAAATTTCTTTCAAAAATTAAAAAAAATTATGCAGAAATAAAAATTCAGAAAAATGGTAAATAAAGTTAAACTGTGATCTGTACTTTGATGAAGAGTTGCAATTTTTCATAAACAACTCGATTTCTTTCTTTTATTTGACTGAATCGAATCCCCCAACGTTATACATATATACACACATATATTATTCTTTACCTTCTAGGAGTGCCAACTAATAATGGTAAAAAAAAAAAAAAAATTCACAAATTTCCTTGCTTTATCAGATATTATATTTACAATACAATAATTACACTTCAAATTCATGTCCACTAGTTAAAAGATATGAATCTAAAAAAAAAGTTAATAGTTTTAAGTGCATAAAAAATTAAAAATATAGTAGAAGGAAGTTCTGGTTTGGATTTTTGTAACGGAAAAGAATGAAAAGGCTATCTGCCTAACGGGAGAGATGGTCTCTGTGGAAGTCTTTAATCACAAGGCTTATGGAGGTTCATATTCACGTTACACATAGGGAAGATTATAAATTATTATTAGTCTACGTCAGTTTATTATTAGTCTACGTCAAACTACCATTATTCAGATACTGCCTGGCCGTTGGTGGGCTGCAATGGAAGAGATTAGCAGAAAGAGCCTTTATTAAACAGTCTTAAAGTTAGTACAAAGCAAAAGCATTTTAAAGGAAATTTTTAAAAAATCATTTAAATTTAAAAGATTATCAAAGTATTCTGATTGTAGATAACAAAATTATAAAGGTACAGCTACTGAAGGTTCCAATTAGAAATCAAATAAACCAGAGGTTATTTAATTCCTAGATAACACTACTTGTTTAAAACACACAACCGATATTGGTCAACCATGGTTTAGGAATTATTTTCAAAATTAAAATAAAAATTATAAAATGATAGAGGTGAAATTATTATAATAAAATGGAAAATGTTTCAAATGGTGCCAAATTAGAAATATCGTTAAACAATCATGATACAATAAAAAAAACCGCCAAAAATATGATGCAAAATGAAACATTTTGTTTTAAACCTGAAGCATGCAATGCAAGCAGTGTGACAAAAGAAATTTAATAATTTAGACTGGGCCTTTTTAGATATGAAATTACTGACTTAACGATGACTCAGAAAATATTGCTATCTAGAAATGTCACACATCAATAACAATAATGAATAGAAATTTAACTCAAAAAACTGGCAGTCCAGAAACTAATAAAAACATACTTTTATATAATTTCATAACATATTTTAGCAAGAGAATTTTATAACTGATCAAGAAGGTGAAAATACGAAAAAACACTAAACAATGCTAAGCTCCAGATTGGGTGTAACAACAAAAAATTATACTGGAATTCTCCATATTAAGTCTATTTTAAAGTATATTAAAAACTTTCATGGAAAAGTTTTATATTTTCAATGCACACAAGAAGCATGAAAAATATTAAATTTACATAAATCAATATTTAAAATTTATTTATGTAAATTTAAATATTTACAAGTATATTTGTGGCAGTTTTAC